GGCAACAAGTGACTAGCTCCCTTAAGGTTTACTATACAAATATTAGGAGTCTAAGAAATAAGATAGATGAGCTAAGATTATTTGCAAGTGCAGGTAATATAGATATTATTGCTATAACAGAGACCTGGTTCAACTTGAAAGATAGAGAAATGCCTTATGAATTCAACATACAAGGTTATAAACTATTCCATACTGATAGGGTCAGCAGGAAGGGTGGTGGAGTGGTGATGAATGTTAGAGATAATTTCAATTGTTGTGTAGAAACATCAGACACAGAATCTGTTTGGCTACAGTTTCTCGAGGGTTGTGAAAAGTTAATTTTGGGTGTGATTTATAGGCCTCCAAACCTTGATAGAGAGTGCATAAGTTGCTATGGGAAGAAATTCATAAGGCATCTAGATATGAAAATGTTGTGTTAATGGGAGACTTTAACTTTAGACAAATTGATTGGAACAATGTGACAGGAAATCTTGAGTCTAGTGACTTTCTTGATACCGTTCAGGTTTGCTTTTTAAAACAGTTTGTGACAGAACCAACTAGAGGAAACAATCTGCTTGACTTGGTTCTTGCCAACAAAGAATCACTAGTTAATAATCTTGAGGTTAATGATGAGCTTGGGGAAAGCAATCACAAATCACTTAGTTTCAATATATCATGGAGTTACCTGGATAACTACAATCGAATCTGTCCCAGACTTTCGCTTGGCCGATTTCATGGGACTGAAAAATTACCTGGGTGGGCTAAATTGGGATGTCCTGACTATGGGTAAAGTAGGTGGTCTTGGTTGCCAATATGATGTTTTTCAGAGCATAGTTCTAGCTGCCCAGACAACTTTTGTTCTGAGTAAGAAATTAGATCTAACAAAACAGAATGACTTCGAGAGTGTGTAAATCTGTAGTGGAGGGAAAGCAGGGTAGGGGTTGGCTTAGGAAGGGTTGGAGGGAGGGGATAAAGGAGGTTTTATGTGTGAGGGGCTTGGACTTCCAGCAGGCATGCATGAGTGTATTTGATATGAATGAATGGAGACAAATGGTTTTTAATACTTGACGTGCTGTTGGAGTGTGAGCAAAGTAACATTTATGAAGGGATTCAGGGAAACCGGCAGGCCAGACTTGAGCCCTGGAGATGGGAAGTACAGTGTCTACACTCTGAAGGAGGGGTGTTAATGTTGCAGTTTTATAACTGTAGTGTAAAACACCCCTCTGGCAAGACAGTGATGGAGTAAATGATGATGAAAGTTTTTCTTTTTCGGGCCACCCTGCCTTGGTGGGAATCGGCCGATGTGTTAATAAATAAATAAAAAATAAAAGTGATCCCAAATGGATGAACAATAGATTAAAACATCTTGTTGGTCAAAAGAGAGGCATATATAGGCATATCAAAAGAGGGGATGGGCAGTTAAGAAATCACTATACGTATTCAATTAAAGAGAGAAATAAAAAAAGGAATAAGAAAAGCAAAAAGGGATTATGAGGCTAAGGTCACAGGGGATTCGAAGACTAACCCAAAAGGGTTCTTTCAGATATACAGAAGTAAGATTAGGGACAAGACAGGCCCACTTAAGAGTAACTCAGGTCAAATCACTGGTAGTGATAAGGATATGTGTGAAATATTCAATTCCTACTTCCTCTGTTTTTACTCAGGAAGATAGTAGCGAAATTCCAGAAATAATAGATTATGTAGAACAGGATGATGATAAACTATGTACGATTGCGGTAACTAGCGACATGGTCCTCAGTCAAATAGAGAAATTAAAACCTAACAAATCCCCAGGTCCTGATGAACTGTTTGCAAGGGTGTTAAAGGAATGTAAAGAGGAACTTAGCATACCTTTGGCTAATCTTTTTAACATATCACTACAAACTGGCATAGTGCCTGATAAGTGGAAAATGGCAAATGTAATACCTATTTACAAGGCAGGTGACAGGTCCTTAGCTTCGAACTATAGACCAATAAGCCTTATCTCAATAGTGGGAAAATTTATGGAATCAGTAATTTCCGAAGCAATTCGTAGCCATCTCGAAAGGTGTAAGTTGATTAATGAATCTCAGCACGGTTTTACAAATGGGCGTTCTTGTTTTACGAATTTACTAACTTTCTTCACTAAGATATTTGAGGATGTAGATCATTGTATTGAATATGATATTGTGTATATGGACTTCAGTAAGGTTTTCGATAGAGTTCCACATCAGAGGCTATTGATGAAACTTAAGGCACACAGAATAGGAGAAATTCTTTCCTGGGTTGAGGCATGGTTGATGAATAGGCAGCAGAGAGTTTGCATAAATGGGGAGAAATCAGAATGGAGGCCCGTCACAAGCGGTGTTCCACAGGGGTCAGTGTTGGGCCCCTTGTTGTTCACAATCTACATAAATGACATAGATGAGGGGATAAATAGCAACATAAGCAAATTTGCTGATGACACCAAAATAGGCCGTCCAATTCATTCTAATGAGGACATTAGAGCACTCCAGGATGATTTGAATAGACTCGTGCAGTGGTCGGAGAAGTGGCAGATGCAGTTTAATATTGACAAATGCAAAGTTCTAAATGTTGGACAGGAAAATAACCATGCCACATATAAACTAAATGTTGATCTTAATATTACAGATTGCGAAAAGGATTTAGGAGTACTGGTTAGTAGCAATCTTAAACCAAGACAACAGTGCATTAGTGTTGGCAGTAAAACTAGCAGAATCCTTGGCTTCATAGCAAGAAGTATAAATAATAGAAGTCCTCAGGTTGTTCTTCAACTCTATATATCTTTGGTTAGGCTTCATTTAGATTATGCTGCACAGTTTTGGTCACCGTATTACAGAATGGATATAAATGCACGGGAAAACGTACAAAGAGGATGACAAAGTTGATCCCATGTATCAGAAATCTTCCCTATGAGGATAGACTGAGGCCCTGAATCTGCACTCTATAGAAAGGCATAGAATTAGGGGGGATATGATTGAGGTGTATAAATGGAAAACAGGAATTAATAAAGGGGATGTAAATAGCGTGCTAAAAATATCTAACATAGGACTCGCAGCAATGGCTTTAAATTGGAAAAATTCAGATTCAGGAAGGATATAGGAAAGCACTGGTTTAGTAATTGAGTTGTGGATGAGTGGAACAAACTCCCAAGTACCATTGTAGACACTAAGACGTTGTGTAGTTTTAAAAATAAGTTGGATAAATACATGAGTGGGTGTGAGTTGGACCTGACTAGCTTGTGCTACTAGGTCAGATGCACTGCTCCTCCCTTAAGTGACATGTCTGACCTCACTAGGTCAAGGCATTGGCTTAAGCCGATGGGAGAATTGGAGCTGCCTCGCATAGGCCAGTAGGCCTGCTGCAGTGCTCCTTCTTCTTTATGTTCCTTATAATATGTAAACCATACATTGTAAGCTTTGCAGGGAAATAAACATTTATTATTATTATTATTATTACAGTATTATTATTATTATTATTATTATGTAGGAGCACCTTTAGCATGTAGGAATAATATTCGATGTTTTCCAGTAAAGTACAGTGCTACAAGTGTTTGCACAGTCCGTAAATGTTTGGCACTGTTGATGATAACTCTTGCTTGCAGGCCGTAACCTATACAGGTGGTCTTCGACTCACGATGGGGTTGCGTTCTGGTGTGCCCATTGTAAATCGGAATATCAGTAAGCAAAAAGCACTTGTACAAACAATTAACTTGAGTAGTGCATCTCATAGCTGGCTTCCACTTGATGCTGCCACCATTTGACATGATCAGTAAACCCATTGAGCAAAATAAGCCCCCCTTTCTCAGTGAGACTTAGGCTTGTTTATATAGATGTGAAGTAAATTGTATGACGTTGAACGTGTCACCATAAAATTGGGTTTCATTTAACAAGCCTTGACTCTACTGGTATGCACAAATATGTGTTTTATTCATTACACCTATAAAAATATACCTTTTTTAAGAAATTGGAAAAATTATGTACACAATTTTTGGATTTCTGAGCACCTCCCACTCCAACTACCCCTCCCACCCCTTTTATTATTGAATAATTAAATAACTTTTTTTCAAGTCAGTAGATGGTACTAACTACAAATAAGAAAAAGCAAAGATAACAAGAGAAGCAAACACGGCTAACAGGAGAGTCCAACAGAGGTGACAGAAAACAAGATGGGCTTAACACTAGAGGTGCCACAACAAATCACAGATATATGCAACACCATATTAAATACAAAATAGTGATGCTACATAATAATAATAATAATAATAATAATAATATTGTTAATATTTCTGCAAGGACATGATACAACTTTTACATACCGTAGCTGACATCCTTGGTATACTATATAGAGTTATGCAGAGCATTTTAGGCAAATTAGGTTAATTTTGTCCCCAGGATGGCACCCACACCAGTCTGCTAATACCCAGGTACCTACTTACTGTTAGGTGAACAGGGACAGCAGGTGTCTTAAGAACACAAACTCAAATGTTTCCACCCATACTGGGGATCAACCACAGACCTCAGTGTGTGAGCTGAGCACACTACCAACCCAGCTGTGAGACACGTAGTGATCTAATGAAATAATATCATTAGTTGTAGTGTTGTTCTGCGCTTATAACGTCTAATATTTGTGCAACCATTACAGCACATAGTCCCATGGACTAGAGCATCATCTGTCATTCACTCACCATGAGGGAGACCAAAGCAGCATGGGTTCGACTCCTTGGCTAGTCGCAGTGTTGTTATTGATATATACATACATTATATATATATATAGTGTGTGTGTGTATATATATATTATACATGTATAATATATATATATATATATATATATATATATATATATATATATATAATATATATATATATATTATATATATTTATATTTAATATTAGTATTTAGTCAAGCATTTGTTTTCATTTATCTACTAAGTGTTATCAGTGCTATTTAACCCTATTGGGTTTAATTCTTAGTTACGATTGTAATAATAATAACGATGCTAAATGTTTATACTTCTTCAGAACCAGTCACGCCTTCAACACCCTCGCGTGGAGGTCGCATTGTGGTGGCCATGTATGCATTCCAGGGTCGCAGTAGTGGTGAACTTAGCTTTGATAAAGGAGATAAAATGGAGATTCTCAACGATGCGTAAGTTACTCCACTTAATCAACTGCTCCTTCTCTTTATTTAGAATTACTAAGGCAGTAAATAGCTTGATTTTTCTTCACAATTTTTTTATATTGTATGCAACAAAAAGGTCAGAAGAATACCACTTGCAATATTTTAGGAAAACACTATTACTAATAGAGTAGTTTGAGCAGTAATAAGTGAGAGAGCATGGAGCAGGTAGTTCTCTACTAAATATTTTTATTCTTGGTCTGCATGGAAATCAGCGAGTGGGAATTTTACTTGTCTGAAGAAAACTAGATTGTGAGGAGATCAAATGATGTGTAAAAAAACTTGTGTGATGTGTTGAGATGGTAAAAACTGTAGGGACTTTTACAAGTTGTAGCTGCAACTGCAGCAGCTGCTGCTACAGGTGCAACAGCTGCTCCTGGTGACACAGAAAAGATGAGGAAAGGCAGTTGGATAATGTGTTCACCTAGTTGTGTATGTGGGGGGTTGAGTTATAGCTCCTGGCCTTGATTGTTAACTTTCATCAACTGGTATTACCAAGTTGTGTCTCTCAGGACCCGATCGTTTGTACTCTTGATGTGATCAGAAATATGCCAGAGAGACAGAGAAAGCGAAAGAGTGTATGAAATGTGTAGCAGATGTGAAAAGGAATTGTCAGTGATAATTATTGTGGAATATTGCCTGCAAGATGGCAGAAAGAATAAAAAATCACACCACTGTGGTTGGAACAATTTAATCCTAACCCATTACTTAGACAGGATACTTTAGATGACATTTCAGTCAGCCATCAGTAGTAAGAGTTTGGTTGCTCAGGCAAGCAGCAGATATGCCTGTCCCAGGGCTGGGCTACAAGAGTAGGAAGACTCTGGAAAGCCTTCACTGGTATATCATGGATCACAGCTTGTTACTTTATAATATTCCAGGCTGGACCAAGACAGTAAAGTTTATTTTTCATTTTGTAGATTAGTTGTGAATTGCTCCTGTCATGGTATAGCAACTTATGCTTTATTGAGAATGAGAATTTTCAGACTTTTGAACGAAGAGTGGAGTCATGTTGAAGATTTTAAACTGTAGTATCAGTACACTTCTGGCAAGACAGTGATTGAGTGAGTGATGATGAAAGCGTTTCTTCTTTATTTAATCACCTTGCCTCGGTGGGAATTGGCTGATGTATTAATAAAAAATAAATTAGCTTGTGAGTATTAGTGTGTAGATTGTTCTCTTTAACTGTTTTATTGATAAGAGCGGTAAATGACCTCATAGGTAAATGATACAACTTGCTTCATTCTTTTCTAGTGATGCGGACTGGTGGCTGGCAAGACACATGACGAGAGGCACCGATGGATACATACCTAAAAATTACGTAGCGTCTGCATCTTCCCTGGAATGCCAAGAGTAAGTATCCAAGTTAAATGTATTTTTTGCTGAATATGAAATATGAAGCGTATTCTTGGCCATGGAGGGTATTTGGGAATTGTGCCTATTAACCCTTAAAGTGTCCAAACGCAGATCTAAATTTTTTTTACATAAGAAAGCATGTAAAATCGAATGTAGATCTACGTTCAGAGCTCTAAGTGAGTGAACGTAGATCTACATTTGGACAGTTTAAGGGTTAATCGATGTTGGATAACGTACAATTTAATGTGTGAGCATTATGTGCAGTATTTATTCATTGCTCATCTAGGTTAACTAATTTTTTTTCCTAGCTGGTACTTTGGCAAGATAGCAAGAAAAGAGGCAGAGAAATTGTTGATGACGAGAGGGAATTTAAGGGGGACCTTCCTCATCCGTATGTCCGAACAGTCTAGTCATGGGTATTCCCTCAGTATAAGGGTTAGTATTACTTATTCTTATTTATTCATTATAAATGAATGTAGGACAAGCCACATGGGAATACAGTATAATAACAATTTATTTAATTTCTGAAGATTAAGACATGTGCAACAGTTGGGTATCTTTATTGATGAAATGATTTGCCTACACAGTAGGTTTCTCAGTCAAATACAAAGGGAGAAGCAGTAATGAAATAAAGATGATGTAATCAGTCCACCAACCTTGGAGACAAAGTATTTGAGGTGGTCAGTCCCTCAGCTTAGAGAAAAGTTCAGCTCCATGGTCTGGAATGATAGTTTCTTTTCTGGGTCACCCTGCCTTGGTGGGAGACGGCCAGCATGTTAAAAAAGTGTCTTTTTGTATCCAAAGCAGAGAGATAAACATTTATGTGTTATTGTGTCTGAGACAAAGAATAACGATTGCTTTTTTCCCAGGACTGGGACCAACACAAAGGTGAACACGTTAAGCACTACCGCATCAAAGTCACAGACACTGGGGGTTACTTTATCACTTCTTCGCAAGCCTTCCGTACCCTCAATGATTTAGTCGATGCCTATAAGAGTGAGTCTTATCTTCCTTATGTTCGTAACCTAGAAATATCCTATTAATAAATCACAGTTAATCTCTTAGAATTTTACAACTTAGTTGTGTATATTAGAATTCATTAAAATAATTTAATTTAGGTTGGTAATAGATATTACAGGTGTTTCTTGACATACGTTGGGGTCACGTTCCGACAAACCCGTAAGTCGAACGTAAGTATGATAGGCTAAATAAATAACTGCTGTCACTGAAAAGGTAAACAAATAATTACTGCAACTAACGACCTGGTCACAGACCAGGTCGGGGGGCATTGACCCCCCAAAACCCTCTCCACGTATACTCCAGGTAAGTAATTACCAGTATTGAAAATAAATATATGGATGCAAGTTAGGGACTTCCTTCATGCTGGGTAATTATCTTAAATTTTATCTGCATAGTAATTGCATTTGCACCATCGTAAAATTTAAATATCGTAAGTCAAGGAACACCTGTAGCACAATTAAGTTTAAATTTATTCCCTTTAACCTTTATACAGCATGGCCATTTTTGTCTTTTTTTTTTAAGGTGAATATGCAATTACCATTTTTGTTCAGGTTGTGTGTGATGGTAAAGAATGTTTCTTCTCAGATCAGCTTTGTTTATAAGTTTCTTTTTTCTGCTTGTAATCTATATGGGATTCTCTCTCAGGATTTCTGTAAGACATATCCACACACATCCACACACATATCCACACACATATCCACACACACATATCCACACACACATATCCACACACACATATCCACACACACATATCCACACACACATATCCACACACACATCCACACACACATATCCACACACACATATCCACACACACACATCCACACACACACACATCCACACACACACACATCCACACACACATCCACACACACACACACACACCCATCCACACACACCCATCCACACACACACACACCCATCCACACACACACCCATCCATCCACACACACACATCCAAACACACACACACCCATCCACACACACACACACACCATCCACACACACACCCATCCATCCACACACACACATCCACACACACACACACCCATCCACACACACACACACCCATCCACACACACACCCATCCATCCACACACACACATCCACACACACACACACACACCCATCCACACACACACCCATCCACACACACACCCATCCATCCACACACACACATCCACACAACACACACACCCATCCACACACACACACACACCCATCCACACACACACCCATCCATCCACACACACACATCCACACACACACACACCCATCCACACACCCATCCATCCACACACACACATCCACACACACACACACCCATCCACACACACACCCATCCACACACACCCATCCACACACACACACACACACCCATCCACACACACACCCATCCACACACACACATCCACACACACACACACACCCATCCACACACACACATCCACACACACATCCACACCCCACATCCACACATACACATCCACACACACATCCACACACACATCCACACATACACATCCACACACACATCCACACACACATCCACACACACATCCACACACACATCCACACATACACATCCACACACACATCCACACACACATCCACACACACACATCCACACACACACATCCACACATACACATCCATACACACAACACACCCATACAAGATTAATTTTAAATATAGATATGACCTTGTAGATTATCTGAGGAAGGATCTACCTACATAAAATACAGGCCGACTTGTTGAAAAAAAAAAAAATATATATACAGTTGACCCCCGGTTAACGATATTTTTTCACTCCGTAAGTATGTTCAGGTGCCAGTACTGACTGAATTTATTCCCATAAGGAATATTGTGAAGTAGATTAGTCCATTTCAGACCCCCAAACATACACATACAAACGCACTTACATAAATACACTTACATAATTGGTCACATTCGGAGGTAATCGTTATGCGGGGGTCCACTGTATATATATATAAGAACAAGTCAAAATTCTGGATTATGCAAATTTCTTTTATTTAGGTGTAAGAGATTACTTAGAAAGATGACATTTTACCTTATCACAATAGTTATAAGAGATTGCTAAATACCATTTTATCTTTTCACAGAGAACAACTATGGGCTGGCGTGTCTTCTACAATATCCTTGTCCGCGTCCACAGCCCCAGAAGTGGGACTTGTCACGCGAGACAAAAGACCAGTGGGAAATTGACCGTTCTGTTCTTTCCATGGATAAAAAATTGGGACAGGGTTCATTTGGTGAAGTTTGGTATGGTAAGATTTTTATATTTTTGTCTTCACTAATGTATAGTGTAATGCTCAGTAATAACCCATGTGGAGACTAACCAGGAGATTAATTGATCCGTATATTTTGACGCTTCTGTTGGGATCCTCTTCATCTGCTGAAGAGGACCCCAGCATGGGGTGAAAATATACAAATCAATTAATCTTCTGAGTTTCTGTCTCGATGTGGGTTATTATTGAACATAACAAGTGTTCATTACAACTTAGTTATTCATATAGCATAACAATCATTGTAATGAATGTTAAGGTTCATTACAGAAGAGAGGAAGTTATGACGACGTTTCGGTCTGACTTGGACCATTTACAAAGTCAGTGTGACTTTGTAAATGGTCCAAGTCAGACCAAGGTTGGAGGGAGGGGGTAAAGGAGGTTTTGTGTGCGAGGGGCTTGGACTTCCAGCGGGCATGCGTGAGCGTATTTGATAGGAGTGAATGGAGACAAATGGTTTTTAATACTTGACGTGCTGTTGGAGTGTGAGCAAAGTAACATTTATGAAGGGGTTCAGGGAAACCGGCAGGCCGGACTTGAGTCCTGGAGATGGGAAGTACAGTGTCTGCACTCTGAAGGAGGGGTGTTAATGTTGCAGTTTAAAAACTGTAGTGTAAAGCACCCTTCTGGCAAGACAGTGATGGAGTGAATAATGGTGAAAGTTTTTCTTTTTTGGGCCACCCTGCCTTGGTGGGAATCGGCCAGTGTGTTAATAATAATAAAAAGAATTTCTGGAGCATCAGTGTAAAGAAAATTGATGTTATACCTGTATATTTTGTAGCCAGAACCCCAGAAAATAGTGACTTAATGTTGTCACTTTTATCACTAGGAATGTGGAACAACTCAACAGAGGTAGCCATCAAAACTCTAAAACAAGGAGCGATGAGTCCCTCGGCCTTCCTCGAAGAAGCAAGAATTATGAAAAAATTACGGCATCGAAACATATTAGTTTTGTATGCAGTGTGTACCAAGGAAGAACCGATCCTAATTGTCACCGAGTATATGTGTAATGGTGCTCTGCTAGATTTGCTCAGAAATGAAGGCGAACGCTCCTTAAAACTCAATGATCTTATATATGTGGCTACACAGGTTTGTTTTCTTACTTTTTTACATAAATAACATTTCAAAAATTATAGAAATAAATATGCTATACAGGCAGGCCTTGCTTATACAGCAGGTTTAGGGTCTGGGCTACTATAGGGCCCCACTTATACAGCAGGTTAGGTTCTGGGCTATTGTAGGGTCCCACTTACATTGCAGGCTAGATTTCTGGTTACTGTAAGGCCCTGCTTATACAGCAGGTTAGGTTTCAGGCTACTGTATGGCATAGCTTATAATGCAGGTTAGGCTCCAGGCTACTGTAGGGCCCTGCTTATAAAGCAGGGTAGGGTCCTGGCCACTGTAGGGCCCCACTTGTGCAGCAGGTTAGGTTTCAGGCTACTGTAGGGCCCTGTTTATACAGCAGGTTAGGTTCCAGGCTACTGTAGGACCCTGCTTATACAGCAGGTTAGGTTCTGAGCTACTGTAGGGCCCTGCTTATATAGCAGGTTAGGTTCTGAGCTACTGTAGGGCCCTGCTTATACAGCTGGTTAGGTTCTGAGCTACTGTAGGGCTCTGCTTATATAGCAGGTTAGGTTCTGAGCTACTGTAGGGCCATGCTTATATAGCAGGTTAGGTTCTGAGCTACTGTAGGGCCCTGTTTATATAGCAGGTTAGGTTCTGAGCTACTGTAGGCTCCTACTTATATAGCAGGTTAGGTTCTGAGCTACTGTAGGGCCCTGCTTATATAGCAGGTTAGGTTCTGAGCTACTGTAGGGCCCTGCTTATATAGCAGGTTAGGTTCTGAGCTACTGTAGGGCCCTGCTTATATAGCAGGTTAGGTTCTGAGCTACTGTAGGGCCCTGCTTATATAGCAGGTTAGGTTCTGAGCTACTGTAGGGCCCTGCTAATATAGCAGGTTAGGTTCTGAGCTACTGTAGGGCCCTGCTTATATAGCAGGTTAGGTTTTGAGCTACTGTAGGGCCCTGCTTATATAGCAGGTTGGGTTTTCTGAGCTACTGTAGGGCCCTGTTATATGCAGGTTAGGTTTTGAGCTACTGTAGGGCCCTGCTTATATAGCAGGTTAGGTTCTGAGCTACTGTAGGGGCCTGCTTATACAGCTGGTTAGGTTCTGAGCTACTGTAGGGCCCTGTTTATATAGCAGGTAGGTTCTGAGCTACTGTTAGGCTCCTATTATATAGCAGGTTAGGTTCTGAGCTACTGTAGGGCCCTGCTTATACAGCTGGTAGGTTCTGAGCTCTGTAGGGCTCTCTTATATAGCAGGTTAGGTTCTGAGCTACTGTAGGGCCATGCTTAAATAGCAGGTTAGTTCTGAGCTACTGAGGGCCCTGCTTATATAAGCAGATTAGGTTCTGAGCTACTGTAGGGCCTGCTTATATAGCAGGTTAGGTTCTGAGCTACTGTAGGGCCCTGCTTATATAGCAGGTAGGTTCGAGCTACTGTAGGCCCTGCTAATATAGCGTTAGGTTACTGAGCTACTGTAGGGCCCTGCTTATTTAGCAGGTTTAGGTTTTGAGCTCTGTAGGGCCCATGCTATAATAGCAGGTTAGGTTCTGAGCTACTGTAGGGCCTGCTTATACAGCAGGTAGGTTCTGAGCTACGGTAAGGCCTTGCTTATAAAGCAGGTTAGGGTTCTGAGCTACTGTAGGGCCCTGCTTATACAGCTGGTTAGGTTCTGAGCTACTGTAGGCCCTGCTTAACAGCAGGTTAGGTTCTGAGCAACTGTAGGGCCCTGCTTATACAGCAGGTTAGGTTCTGAGCTACTGTAGGGCCCTGTTTCTACAGCTGGTTAGGTTCTGAGCTACTGTAGGGCCCTGCTTATACAGCAGGTTAGGTTCTGAGCTACTGTAGGGCCCCTGCTTATAAGCAGGTTAAGTTCTGAGCTACTGTAGGGCCCTGCTTATACAGCAGGTTAGGTTCTGAGCTACTGTAGGGCCCTGCTTATATAGCAGGTTAGGTTCTGAGCTACTGTAGGGCCCTGCTTATACAGCAGGTTAGGTTCTGAGCTACTGTAGGGCCCTGCTTATACAGCAGGTTAGGTTCTGAGCTACTGTAGGGCCCTGCTTATACAGCAGGTTAGGTTCTGAGCTACTGTAGGGCCCGGCTTATACAGCAGGTTAGGTTCTGAGCTACTGTAGGGCCCTGCTTATGTAACAGGTTAGGTTCTGAGCTACTGTAGGGTCCTACTTATATAGCAGGTTAGGTTCTGAGCTACTGTAGGGCCCTACTTATACAGCAGGTTAGGTTCTGAGCTACTGTAGGGCCCTACTTATATAGCAGGTTAGGTTCTGAGCTACTGTAGGGCCCTGCTTATATAGCAGGTTAGGTTCTGAGCTACTGTAGGGACCTGCTTATACAGCTGGTTAGGTTCTGAGCTACTGTAGGGCCCTGCTTACATAGCAGGTTAGGTTCTGAGCTACTGTAGGGCCCCGCTTATACAGCAGGTTAGGTTCTGAGCTACTGTAGGGCCCTGCTTATACAACAGGTTAGGTTCTGAGCTGTAGGGCCCTGCTTATACAGCTGGTTAGGTTCTGAGCTACTGTAGGGCCCTGCTTATACAGCTGGTTAGGTTCTGAGCTACTGTAGGGCCCTGCTTATACAGCAGGTTAGGTTCTGAGCTACTGTAGGGCCCTGCTTATACAGCAGGTTAGGTTCTGAGCTACTGTAGGGCCATGCTTATACAGCAGATTAGGTTCTGAGCTACTGTAGGGCCATGCTTATACAGCAGATTAGGTTCTGAGCTACTGTAGGGCCCTGCTTATACAGCAGGTTAGGTTCTGAGCTACTGTAGGGCCATGCTTATACAGCAGATTAGGTTCTGAGCTACTGTAGGGCCATGCTTATACAGGAGGTTAGGTTCTGAGCTACTGTAGGGCCATGCTTATACAGCAGGTTAGGTTCTGAGCTACTGTAGGGCCCTGCTTATACAGCAGGTTAGGTTCTGAGCTACTGTAGGGCCATGCTTATACAGCAGATTAGGTTCTGAGCTACTGTAGGGCCATGCTTATACAGCAGATTAGGTTCTGAGCTACTGTAGGGCCCTGCTTATACAGCAGGTTAGGTTCTGAGCTACTGTAGGGCCATGCTTATACAGCAGATTAGGTTCTGAGCTACTGTAGGGCCCTGCTTATACAGCAGGTTAGGTTCTGAGCTACTGTAGGGCCATGCTTATACAGCAGATTAGGTTCTGAGCTACTGTAGGGCCATGCTTATACAGCAGGTTAGGTTCTGAGCTACTGTAGGGCCATGCTTATACAGCAGGTTAGGTTCTGAGCTATTGCTGTAAAGTGAAAAATAGCCCCTTTTTTTTTCTCACTTTCAAATGCATATAAAAGCCTGATAGCATGTTTACACTATCATATATTAAGTGAACAATAGAGCTAGGCCTAAAAAATGCATATACAGTGGACCCCCGGTTTACGATATTATTTCATTCCAGTAGTATGTTCAGGTGCCAGTACTGAACGAATTTGTTCCCATAAGGAATATTGTGAATTAGATTAGTCCATTTCAGACCTCCAAACATACACATACAAACGCACTTACATAAATACACTTACATAATTGGTCGCATTGGAAGCTGATCGTAAACCGGGGGTCCACTGTACATTACATACATTACGTACCTTAAAATATTTTCATCCTTACCTTATAGTGAATGGTGGATATATTTATTGTAGGAAGTCTGAATAGGTGAAGAATAGGTAAAATTGAAAGCAGCTGTGTTAGTGAAACACCGTGAAGTGAAACGCTGTAAAGTGGGGCCCTCAGGTATATCCCTTTTTCACAGATAAAACCTGATTACCTCCAGGCATTAAATGACCCTTATGGGTTTAGTGCTTTTCCGTGATTTTAATAGAGGTGATTTCACATGAGGTTGTCCTCTCAAGAAAAGTTGTGCTAAAGAAAATGTGCCAATCAAAATACATTACAGATAACCTACCTTAAGCTCACATAATGTTATCTAATCTTATCTAAAATTATAATTTATGCATTCAAGATTATAATTTATTTATCTAAAATTATTATTAATACATTTAAAATTAAAAATTTATGTAGAATAATAATTCATACATTCAACATTATTATTTATCTAGAATAATTTATAAATTCAAAATTATTGTTTACCAATGTAGAATAATAATTCATACATTGAAGATTATCATGTATTTCAGGTTGCAGCAGGAATGGCATACCTTGAGAGCCTACAGTTGCTACATAGAGATTTAGCCGCACGCAATGTGTTAGTTGGCGAGTCTTTGCTGTGCAAAGTTGCTGATTTTGGCCTTGCAAGAATAGTCGAGGGTGAAGATTACTGTCCTAGCACTTGTGAGTTATTTTCTTTGTATTGATTTGATTGATATCCGGTTAGACGAACTTGAGTCCTGGAGGTGGCAAGTTCACTGCCTGCACGACACAACACTATCTTACACTACTGTACACTAAACAACACTGTCTTTCACTACACAATACTATCTTACACTACACAACACTATCTTACACTACACAATAACTATTTTACACATAATAACTATCTAACTTACACAACACTATCAGTACACTAACAAACTATCTTACACTACACAAAACTAATACTTACACTAAATAACACTAATTAAACTACATCACATACTTACATCTTACAACACTATCTTACACTACACAATACTATCTACACTATTTAACAAGACTATTAACATTATCTTACAACACATAAAATATCTTAACTACTAACACATATCTACACTACACAACACTTCTTACCTACACAACACTATCTTACATACATGTAACATTATCTACACTAATCAAACATATCTTCACTAACAATACTATCTTACGCTACAAACATTAATCTTACATAACATCAATATCTTTAATCTTACTTACACTACACACAACTATCTTACACTAACATATACTATCGTACATACACAACATCTATCTGACACTATACAATACTATCTTACACTACACAACACTAATCTTACACTACACAAACATCTTTATGTAACTACACAAATATATCTTACACTAACAATACTATCTTACACTACTAAACTATCTACACTTACACTAACAATACTATCTACACTACATCTACACTACCTTACAATACTCCAACACTAATCTTACACTACACAACACTTATCTATACGCTACACAACATACTTACACTTCACAACACTATCTTACACTACACAAACTATCTTACACTATACACATACTACTTACATACAAACACTAGTCTTACACTAAATACATTATCTTACACTACACAACACTATCTTACACTACACACACTTCTTACACTACACAATACTATCTTACACTAATCAACACTATCTTACACACACAACACTATCTTACACTACTTACACCAACTTCTACACTACAACAACACTATCTTACACTATGTAACATTATCTTACACTACACAACACTATCTTACACTACTCAACACTATCTTACACTACACAACACTATCTTACACTACACAACACTATCTTACACTATGTAACATTATCTTACACTACACAATCAACACTATCTTACACTACACAACACTATCTTACACTACTCAACACTATCTTACACTACACAACACTATCTTACACTACACAACACTATCTTACACTACACAACACTATCTTACACTATGTAACAATATCTTACACTACAACACTATCTTACACTAACACAAACTATCTTACACTACACAACACTTATCTTACAACTATACACTATCTTACACTACACAACACTATCTACACTACACAACACTATCTTACACTACACAACACTATCTTACACTATGTAACATATCTTACACTACACAAACACTATCTTACACAATCCAACACTATCTTACACTACGAACAACACCACTAAACGACTTCTACACTACACAATACTTAACTTACATTTCACTACTAACACTATCTTACACTACACAACACTATCTTACACTACACAACACTATCTTACACTATGTAACATTATCTTACACTACTCAACACTATCTTACACTACACAAACACTATCTACACTACACATACTATCTTACAACTATAACATTATCTTACACTACTACAAAACTATCTTACACTACACAACACTCATCTTACCTACACAATCACTATCTTACACTACACACATACTATCTTACACAACACAACAACTATCTTACTACTACACAACACTATCTTACACTACATACAATACTACAAATCTTACACTACACAACACTATCTTACACTACACAATACTATCTTACTATGTACAATTATCTTACCTACACAACACTATCTTACACTAAACACTTAACTACAATATATCTTACACTACACATAACTTACACATCTTACACTACAACTACAACTATCATTATCACTACACAACACTATCTTACACTACACAACACTATCTTACCATCTACTACACAACACTATCTTACACTACACAACACTATCTTACACTACACAAACTCACTACTACTTTACACTACACAACACTATCTTACACTACACAACACTATCTTACACTACACAACACTATCTTACACTACACAACACTATTCATTACACTACACAACACTATCTTACACTACACAACACTATTTTCACTACAACAACATATCTTACACTACACAACACTATCTTACACTACACACACTATCTTACACTACACAACACTATCTACACACCACACCCCCAACACTATCTTAAACTACACAACACTATCATACACTACACAACACTATCTTAACACTACAACAACACTTCTTACACTATGAACATTATCTTACACTACCAACACTATCTTTACACTACACAAACACTATCTACATCTTACACAACAACTATCTTACACTAGTAACATCTTAACTATCAACTACTTACCTACACAACACTATCTTACACTACACAACACTATCTTACACTAGTCATATCTTAACTACTCAACACTATCTTACACTACACAATACTATCTTACACTACACAATACTATCTTACACTACCAACACTATCTTACACTACACCAAACATCTACACATACACAACACTATCTTACACTACACAATACTATCTACACTGCACAATACTATCTTACACTACACAACACTATCTTACACTACACAACACTATCTTACACTACACAATACTATCTTACACTACACAACACTATCTTACACTACACAACACTATCTTACACTACACAACACTATCTTACACTACACAACACTATCTTTACACTACACAACACTATCTACACTACACAACACTATCTTACACTACACAACACTATTTACACTACACAACACTATCTTACACTACACAACACTATCTTACACTACACAACACTATCTTACACAAAATAAACAACACTAATACTTACATACACAACACTATTTACAATACACAACACTATCTTACACTACACAACACTATCTTACACTACACAACACTATCTTACACTACACAACACTATCTTACACTACACAACACTATCTTACACTACACAACACTATCTTACACTACACAACACTATCTTACACTACACAACACTATTTTACACTACACAACACTATTTTACACTACACAACACTATCTTATTGCTACACAACACTATTTTACACTACACAACACTATTTTACACTACACAACACTATCTCATACTACACAACACTATCTTGCACTACATAACACTATCTTACACTACATAACATTTTCTTACACTACACAACACTATCTCATACTACACAACACTATCTTGCACTACATAACACTATCTTACACTACATAACATTTTTTTACACTACACAACACTATCTTACACTTTTGAACAATATCTTATGCTGTTGATCAATATCTACACTATTCGACACTATTTTGCACTACTCAACAATATCTTACACTACTCTTCACTATTCATACAGTTCCTGTAGGATGTTGTGGGGGTCATTGCCCCCAGTCCATTAGAAACAAAATAAACAAACAAACCAAGCCAACACTAACTTCACTAATTAATGCCATCACTTAAAAATCATAAGTACTTCTATGTTCTAACTTCACTATTTAATGTGGTAACTGGTTATTCTTGTTACTTCTTTGAGTATTTGTTACTATTTCATACTTGGAAGACAATTTAAGGAAGAGAATTTAAGAAGCATTCGTTGCTGTCGTCTGCGTGTGTGGAGGTCATCAAAGCGTAAAAACTTTTACAATGGCTTTCGAAGAAGTCGAGTTTCTGGGCGTTTCCCATCCCCTACTGGAAAATACTAGGGTTATGTTGCTGAAGGAGTTGTATGCAGTCATATCTGGCACAACTCGTCCTTTCGGTAAGTGCTGTAAAATGGAGACCTGGTTGCAGTTCATGGTGTCCCCTCCTCTGGACCTTGGAACAGGCCGTTTACTGATAAGAAAGGGACAGGAGCCGGGTGTTTTACATGCTTTCTCTGCCTACCGATGCCTAGATGGATCCCTTTTGTTTTTTGACAGTGACCTAAGCCCAAGGTCCCGTTGGCTCTTTAAAGGTTACCTGAAGACCCATCCTACTTACAAGAAGTATTTGATAGTGGATGGAGTTCAACAGTTAGGCCCTACATGTTCATACTTAGCCTTGACCTTCCTTGATGTGGCTGCTAGTTGTCGCCTCACCACTGCCGAGGACATCAATCGCTACTTCAAGATTTACATGATGAAGTTCCCTGAGGTGACTGCCGTCACAAGAGTAAAGGAGATGCTCTTGGAATTTGAAAATGACATTGATATTAACAGTGAAAATGAGCAGTGCAACTTGCTTAGCCTCAAATTAAAGCAGTGCTTATCCCGCAGGAAGAGAAAAGCAAGTAAACACTTGTACACATTGGCTCCTGCAAAACGAACTAAAATTTAAAAATGAAAAGGCTAGTCATTCAGGAAACTCTCAAAACAGGAGAGAGATACGAGAGGAGCCACAAAAATCGTGGGGCCTTCACTGAATTATTATTACCAAGAAGACCAACCATCAGAAAACCTTATGTTCAAGGATACCATCTGTTAAAGAATAAAAAATGCACAATACTGTTACTGAAACAGGCAAAATAACACAAAGAACTGTCCTGAGTTAGAAAGTATAAGGCAAATAATGTCCCTAATACCATTAACATTCTCTGCCTGCACAAGACGAGAACTGACACTAGAGAGACAGGATGCCCCGAGACCACCACATACAAAGCTTAAAATTAGAAAATAATGATCAAAGGTCATCATTGTCACTATAGCAAAGACTCACTACTGCAGCATGTTAAAATAAATAAACACACACACACACACAAAAAAAAAAAGAAAATAGAGATGATAGTAGTAAAGTGAATGATGATAAAAGTTTTCTTTTTTGGGCCACCCTGCCTTGGTGGAAAATGGCCGATGTGTTAATAAAACAAAATGATAGTGGTAGTAAAGGTAAGACTAGAGACGACAGTAGTAGTGTGAAGATAAGACTAGAGATGACAGTAGTAGTGTGAAGATAAGACTAGAGACAACTATTATTATTATTATTATTTTTATTATTATTATTATTATTATTATTATTATTATTATTATTATTATTATTATTATTGCATCTTGAGCACTGGTGAGACACTCTTAGCTACTCCTTTGCCTGACATAGGTACTCCTGCTTTATAGCAATGTTAAATAGTGATTTTTATTGTACGTACATGTCAACACAATAAGTTTATTTAGGTACAGGTACACATAAGTACAATTATTAGTACTATCCCAGCAATAGACATATCTTGCTCACTGAATTTAATAACTTCTAACTTTGCATTTAAAGTGCAAAGTTAGAAATTAGAACTATATATAAAATATGCAATAACTTTAAAACACTTGTAACTTTGGAAAGTTTCCAGATGTAATCAGGAGACACCCGGAGCTCACGGAGGATGTAAACCAGTGGTATTCATTGTGCGGCTCGCGAGCTGCTGGCGGCTCGCGAGCTGCTGGCGGCTCGCGATGACTCTATTCACGGCTCTCGAAAACTTTTTCTCATTTACTATATTGCACTAGCAGCTCAGTACTACTTAATTTAGTTGAGTTACGCTAACTTGCAGTAGCTGCGGCTCTCTCAATCAATGTGTTTAACCGAAGTGGCTCTCTTGCAAAAATTAGTGAGTAACACCCGTCCACTCTCAGTTTGTTTACATTGTAAACAAACTGAGAGTGGACGGGTGGCACTCAGACACTGTCTGTAATAGTGAATTAGGAGCTGTGTTAACAAATTTTTGGGTATAATTTGAATATAAAGCGGAGGCCCTACTGTATGTGACCCATATTGAAAGATTTACTGTTGTACATGAATGCTATATAATGCCAGCAAGATGAAGAATTTGACATGTGCTGCATTGAGGTATCTTTATGACATGTGCTGCATCGAGGTATCTTTATGACATGTGCTGCATCGAGGTATCTTTATGACATGTGCTGCATCGAGGTATCTTTATGCAATGTGCTGCATCGAGGTATCTTTATGACATGTGCTGCATCGAGGTATCTTTATGACATGTGCTGCATCGAGGTATCTTTATGACATGTGCTGCATCGAGGTATCTTTATGACATGTGCTGCATCGAGGTATCTTTATGACATGTGCTGCATCGAGGTATCTTTATGACATGTGCTACATCTGGGTATCTTTATGACATGTGCTACATCTGGGTATCTTTATGACATGTGATGCATCTGGGTATCTTTATGACATGTGCTACATCTGGGTATCTTTATGACATGTGCTACATCTGGGTATCTTTATGACATGTGCTACATCTGGGTATCTTTATGACATGTGCTACATCTGGGTATCTTTATGACATGTGCTACATCTGGGTATCTTTATGACATGCGCTACATCTGGGTATCTTTATGACATGTGCTACATCTGGGTATCTTTATGACATGCGCTCATATCTGGTTACTTTATGACATGTGATGCATCTGGGTATCTTTATGACATGTGCTACATCTGGGTATCTTTATGACATGCGCTACATCTGGGTATCTTTATGACATGCGCTACATCTGGGTATCTTTATTTGTAGAGGTTTTTGCTGGCATCAGATGAGAGACGTGCAGCATCTTTTGTATACAATTGTACATTCTTCACATTATGTCCTTGTACAGCCTCTCCTCACTTAGCGACGTACTTGTTTACTGACGCCTTGGACTTACAACAGGCTCTCTGACCAGTATTCATACCTAAATAATGTATATTAGAGCTGATTTCCTTTATTCTGTTTATTTCAATATACAGTACACTACTGTATAAACATTTAAAAATGTACCAGAAATGTTATAAATGGTGCAAGGGTGACCTTAAAACAATATCAGAGATGGTTGACACAAACTAACATTATAGTATACTCCTCACTTAGCGACGGATTCGTTTAATGACGTGGTCTTAGGGACAGAACTCCGTTGTTAAGTGAGGAGAGGCTGTATTGATTAAGCCACATGTCTAATTCTTAAATAGATTAACTGCATTGAAATTATTAAATATTATTTCTCTCCTACCATGGTGGAAAATGACTGTTGTGAAAATATAGAGTAAACTACAACATTGATATTTTACTCTCTAGGTAACAAATTCCCTGTCAAGTGGACAGCACCAGAGGCTATGCTGTACAACCGTTTCACTATCAAGTCTGACGTGTGGTCGTTTGGAGTGCTTCTTATGGAAGTCATCACATACGGTGCTAACCCATATCCAGGTAATGAAGACATTTTACCACTAAAAGTACTATTGGTTTTGGGGGAAAAAAATGCTTTTGCTTACTATTATAAGGTGTTTCAAACTATTTTTACTTAGACATGTTTCATAGTTGAGGTATTAATTCCAAGACATTTTTTGCTCCCACCTGGGGTATTCCAATACATTAATATTATTTACAGGTAAGCCAGGACTTGCAGCAATGGGTTCAAGTTTGAAAAATTTAGATTTAGAGGGGATATAGGAAAGCACTAGTTTGGTAACGTAAGTTTTGGATGAGTGGAACAAACTCCCCAGTAGTGTCATTGAAGCTAAAATGTTGTATTGTTTTAAAATTAGGCTAGAGAAATATATGAGTAGGTGTGAGTTGGACATGCCTAGCATGGGCCAGTAGGCCTGCTGCAGTGCTCCTCCTTTCTTATGTTCCTATGTTAATCTGTGTCGTTGATATGTGTTGACAATGCTGTTTCCCTGAATGAGCAATCACAGCAATCTGTATTGATATCAAAGACAGTAAGAGAACTAGTGACACTTGTGTATATTTAAATGTTTCTTGGTTATACAGTCTCTGTTCCCTCATTTCCTCCCAGATATATTGTGGTCATTCTTTTAATTTGCTTATTTATGGCTCAATATATAAATTTTCTGTAACCAAACACAACCTAACCTACTTTAAAATAAATATTGTTCGTAAATTTACAGGAAGTGTTAAGAAATTAAGAGTGATGATATGGTGGGTTTGTGTAGCAGGACACACCTGGAAAATTCAATGGGGACTCCACTAATATGGGATAGAAAATTGATTTCTGAGTTTCACTCACCTCTCCCCTTCACAGTGTTTCTTTTTTGGCTACAGATTATTTGTGCTAAGTACATGTATATATGACAATTTGGAATTTTTAGAGGTGGCCCAGTGCCACCATATTGTCACCGCACCACTAAAAGATGGATGAAAAAATTACTTAGTGAATTTTTCTTGCCCCCTCTCTCCATTTTTTTTTGGGGGGGGGGCTAAAATTCTGTGGTGAGTGGACTTTGAGAAGCATCCCAACATCACCAAATTTTCACCCCTTACAAAATGTTAATTCCTGTGTTGTTGTTAAGAAATGGTATAGTGATGACAACAAAATGTGGAAAAAGACGTGTACAGTTTGGGACGTTTGTAGTAAATGTTTCACCACGACTGACTTCTTGAGTCCAGACATGAAGAAGGCACATGTGCAAAATATTTCCTATAATATCCTGAACTGTACATAAGTCTTTTTCCACACGTGTTGTTGTTGTTGACGTTGGCAGCAGTGGCATCATTGGCTGTGATTTGTTCACAGTTGTACTACTGCTTCCTCCTCCCCCCCCCCATTTTTTTTTTTTTCAACAAGTTGGCCGTCTCCCACCGAGGCAGGGTGACCCAAAAAAGAAAGAAAATCCCCAAAAAGAAAATGCTTTCATCATCATTCAACACTTTCACCACACTCACATATAATCACTGTTTTTGCTGAGGTGCTCAGAATACAACAGTTTAGAAGCATATACGTATAAAGATACATAACATATCCCTCCAAACTGCCAATATCCCAAACCCCTCCTTTAAAGTGCAGGCATTGTACTTCCCATTTCCAGGACTCAAGTCTGACTGTATGAAAATAACCGGTTTCCCTGAATCCCTTCACTAAATATTACCCTGCTCACACTCCAACAGATCGTCAGGTCTCAAGTACCATTCGTCTCCATTCACTCCTATCTAACACGCTCACGCACGCTTGCTGGAAGTCCAAGCCCCTTGCCCACAAAACCTCCTTTACCCCCTCTCTCCAACCCTTTCGAGGACTACCCCTACCTCGCCTTCCTGTCCCTATAGATTTATGTGCTTTCCATGTCATTCTACTTTGATCCATTCTCTCTAAATGACCAAACCACCTCAACAACCCCTCTTCTGCCCTCTGACTAATACTTTTATTAACTCCACACCTTTTCCTAATTTCCACACTCCGAATTTTCTGCATAATATTTACACTACACATTGCCCATTAGACAGGACATCTCCACTGCCTCCAACCGTCTCCTCGCTGCTGCATTTACCACCCAAGCTTCACACCCATATAAGAGTGTTGGTACTACTATACTTTCATACATTCCCTTCTTTGCCTCCATAGATAATGTTTTTTTGACTCCACATATACCTCAATGCACCACTCACCTTTTTTCCCTCATCAATTCTATGATTAACCTCATCCTTCATAAATCCATCCGCCGACACGTCAACTCCCAAGTATCTGAAAACATTTACTTCTTCCATACTCCTCCTCCCCAATTTGATATCCAATTTTTCTTTATCTAAATCATTTGATACCCTCATCACCTTACTCTTTTCTATGTTCACTTTAAACTTTCTACCTTTACACACATTCCCAAACTCATCCACTAACCTTTGCAATTTTTCTTTAGAATCTCCCATAAGCACAGTATCATCAGCAAAAAGTAACTGTTTTAATTCCCAATTTGAATTTAATTCCCCATAATTTAATCCCACCCCTCTCCCGAACACCCTAGCATTTACTTCTTTTACAACCCCAAGTATAAATATATTAAACAACCATGGTGACATTACACATCCCTGTCTAAGACCTACTTTTACCGGGAAGTATTCTCCCTCTCTTCTACATACCCTAACCTGAGCCTCACTATCCTCATAAAACTCTTTACAGCATTTAGTAACTTACCACCTATTCCATATACTTGCAACATCTGCCACATTGCTCCCCTATCCACTATCATATGCCTTTTCTAAATCCATAAATGCAATAAAAACTTCCCTACCTTTATCTAAATACTGTTCACATATATGCTTAAATGTAAACACTTGATCTACACATCCCCTACCCACTCTGAAACCTCCTTGCTCATCTGCAATCCTACATTCTGTCTTACCTCTAATTCTTTCAATTATAACCCTACCGTACACTTTTCCTGGTATACTCAGTAAACTTATTCCTCTATAATTTTTACAATCTCTTTTGTCCCCTTTCCCTTTATATAAAGGGACTATACATGCTCTCCGCCAATCCCTAGGTACCTTCCCCTCTTTCATACATTTATTAAACAAAAGTACCAACCACTCCAACACTATATCCCCCCCTGCTTTTAACATTTCTGTCATGATCCCATCAGTTCCAGCTGCTTTAACCCCTTTCATTCTACGTAATGCCTCACGTACCTCCCCCACACTTACATTCTGCTCTTCTTCACTCCTAAAAGATGGTATACCTCCCTGGCCAGTGCATGAAATTACCACCTCCCTTTCTTCCTCAACATTTAAAAGTTCCTCAAAATATTCTCGCCATCTACCTAATACCTCCCTCTCGCCATCTACTAACTCCCCTACTCTATTTTTAACTGACAAATCCATACTTTCCCTAGGCTTTCTTAACTTGTTTAACTCACTCCAAAATTTTTTCTTATTTTCATTAAAATTTCTTGACAGTGCCTCTCCCACTCCGTCATCTGCTCTCCTTTTGCACTCTCTTCACCTTTCTTTTACTCTCCATATACTCTGCTTTTCTTATAACACTTCTGCTTTGTAAATACCTCTCATACGCTACCTTTTTCTCTTTTATCACACCCTTTACTTCATCATTCCACCAATCACTCCTCTTTCCTCCTGCCCCCACCCTCCTATAACCACAAACTTCTGCCCCACATTCTAATACTGCGTTTTTAAAACTATTCCAACCCTCTTCAACCCCCCCACTACTCATCTTTGCACTAGCAGATGTTGCAAGTATATGGAATAGGTGGTAAGTTATTAAATGCTGTAAAGAGTTTTTATGAGGATAGTGAGGCTCAGGTTAGGGTGTGTAGAAGAGAGGGAGAATACTTCCTGGTAAAAGTAGGTCTTAGACAGGGATGTGTAATGTCACCATGGTTGTTTAATATATTTATAGATGGGGTTGTAAAGGAAGTAAATGCTAGGGTGTTCGGGAGAGGGGTGGGATTAAATTTTGGGGAATCAAATTCAAAATGGGAATTGACACAGTTACTTTTTGCTGATGATACTGTGCTTATGGGAGATTCTAAAGAAAAATTGCAAAGGTTAGTGGATGAGTTTGGGAATGTGTGTAAAGGTAGAAAGTTGAAAGTGAACATAGAAAAGAGTAAGGTGATGAGGGTGTCAAATGATTTAGATAAAGAAAAATTGGATATCAAATTGGGGAGGAGGAGTATGGAAGAAGTGAATGTTTTCAGATACTTGGGAGTTGACGTGTCGGCGGATGGATTTATGAAGGATGAGGTTAATCATAGAATTGATGAGGGAAAAAAGGTGAGTGGTGCATTGAGGTATATGTGGAGTCTAAAAACGTTATCTATGGAGGCAAAGAAGGGAATGTATGAAAGTATAGTAGTACCAACACTCTTATATGGGTGTGAAGCTTGGGTGGTAAATGCAGCAGCGAGGAGACGGTTGGAGGCAGTGGAGATGTCCTGTTTAAGGCAATGTGTGGTGTAAATATTATGCAGAAAATTCGGATGTGGAAATTAGGAGAAGGTGTGGAGTTAATAAAAGTATTAGTCAGAGGGCAGAAGAGGGGTTGTTGAGGTGGTTTGGTCATTTAGAGAGAATGGATCAAAGTAGAATGACATGGAAAGCATATAAATCTATAGGGGAAGGAAGGCGGGTAGGGGTCGTCCTCGAAAGGGTTGGAGAGAGGGGGTAAAGGAGGTTTTGTGGGAAAGGGGGCTTGGACTTCCCAGCAAGCGTGCGTGAGCGTGTTAGATAGGAGTGAATGGAGACGAATGGTACTTGGGACCTGATGATCTGTTGGATTTTGAGCAGGGTAATATTTAGTGAAGGGATTCAGGGAAACCGGTTATTTTCATATAGTCGGACTTGAGTCCTGGAAATGGGAAGTACAATGCCTGCACTTTAAAGGAGGGGTTTGGGATATTGGCAGTTTGGAGGGATATGTTGTGTATCTTTATGTGTGTATGCTTCTAGACTGTTGTATTCTGAGCACCTCTGCAAAAACAGTGATAATGTGCGAGTGTGGTGAAAGTGTTGAATGATGATGAAAGTATTTTCTTTTTGGGGATTTTCTTTCTTTTTTGGGTCACCCTGCCTCGGTGGGAGACGGCCGACTTGTTGGAAAAAAAAAAAATAATATATATATATATATATATTTGCGTTGCTCTTGACTTTCATTTTCCCATGAGAGAAAATGGGAATTCACATTTTATTGGGGTGAAAATTGAAGGTCACTTGAGCACCCCAGAATTTTGTAAATTTGCTATTGAATTTTTTTTTAAAGTAAAACATTACTGGATAAGACAATAAAATATGAAATTTGAAATTTTATGAACCACCCTAATATTCGTGCAAGTATGACATTCAACGTAGCACGTTCGTAATGCTTAAAAGTCTTCAACAGTAGCAGCAGGTATTTAAAATATCTTCAAAAAATTCCTTGGTGAGGTCAGCCTTTCAAGGAAAGTTAACTCAGTGGTGTCGATGACTTGGGTTGTACTAAGGTACATTATCGGTGGGTATTGGCTAATTTTAATATTACCAGTATTGGTTAATTTTGATGGTATCAGTATTAGCCTAGAATTGTGTATCATTATAGGTATCAGCAAAAATTTAGTTGTTGACCCATCTCTTATTAGTGATGTATGAATACACTGCTTAATGTTTGATGTAATTCTTTGTTTACTTTGCTTTGTTAACTTTCTTTGTATTTAAAAGCAAGATTGTATTGGAATACCCCATGATTTGTTAAGAGTATTAAAATGCTTAGCCATTATTATTGTCGCCAAAAATAGCAAACTTACTGTACGTACATTATGTATCGTGCAGTATATCCTTCGTGCTTTTCAAATAAAAAATTGTTGCTTTTATTCTTAAGTGTAAAATCAAAACATCTCTTATGCCTTAATAATCATTTATTTCTTCTTTATGCATTATCTTATGCTGCTTGCTTTGTCTATACTGCTTGCAATGCTGTCTTTGCCACATAGGGATGAACAACCGGGAGGTGATAGAGCGAGTGCAAGCAGGTTACCGGATGGCCAAGCCTCCTAGATGTCCGGATGAATTATACAAGGCGATGCTCCACTGCTGGGACAAGGATCCTGACCACCGACCCACCTTTGACTTCTTGCATCACTTCTTCGATGACTACCAGGTCTCCTCCGAAATACCCTATCGCGACATCCACGACTAATAACAACATGACCCCTGCCTGACCTCCACCCTCTTATTCAGACCCTCCCAGGCCAGGACAACCTGGGTAATAAACAGTCAGTAAGTTTTTGTAATTGGTCACCCAGAATATGTAGCTGGGTAAGGTTCATAAAATGAACCCTAAAAAGTCAACTTAACTTTAATATGGTGGAGGGTAGCGGTAACTAGGGACACATTTATTCACAGCAAAAGCATCTCCTTATATTTGATAGTTGTGTGATAAGGATGACAATCCTTGTCATATTGGTATCAGATTAATGGCTGGGCTCATAAATGATACTTATATTTCTCTAGAGTTTTTCAAAATTCATTAAAAATTTTTACAATAATTCTGTTAATTATAATGAAATTATTCAAAACAATTTTAGATTGTGAAGCCTACGTGGAGATTTTGAATCACAACAAACACAGTTAACCATTTACACAGCCCAATAGTAGTACAGTAAGTCCTCAGTCAGTGTTGCAATTACATACCAATAAAGTTCAGTGTTGACTAGAACAGTGTAATGCAGAACCTGCGACAATGTTACATTGAGTCAGACAACAAACAAAGCAGCAGTGTGCCAACTACTCGTGCCTAAACACTAGTAACTTTCTGACGGAGTAATATTGTCTGGGGTCAACATTAACTGGGGACTTGCTGTATTAGTGTCACCCAACACGTCCTTCTCCTGCACCTTGCCATATCCCATATTTGCACCTCTTTTTGCAATTATCATTCTTTTGTGATTCATTTTTGTAGTTTCTGTGCAAGACTGATTTTCTCAGCATAAACAAGAAAATTAGTCTTCGTTCATAATACTGTGTTAAGTGTAGTGAGTGTAGTATATGGTATCTTATATATATGTTTTGATAACACTGGTTTAAAATTTATTTTCAATGCATAAATAAAAAGTAGTGGTCTGCTTTGGTATTAGGAAATGGCCTTTCTAAAAATGTATAGATTTTTACTGCAGTATTATTTATTGAACATATGCTAATTTTTCATTAGTTTTCAGCATACTTAGAAAGTTTGCTTGTCAAATATACGGTAAAACTATTAATAAACAGAAGGAGATAATTTTGGTCCAGGTCGAACCAAAACATCATCATGAGTTTCAGTCACCTATGTGCAGGTTTTTTGTGTGTGTATCCAGAGGAATGCAAAAGGCTATTATTTTTAAAGTTAATGTGGAATTTAAATGAGATAACAGTATGCATTAAGCCAAAGAAAAGTGCTTTTGTGGTTTCTCGGGTGACCGTGTTTAGGTGGAAACCGGCAGGTGAATTCCAAAATAGCATTAAAAAGAGGGACTGTAGAAGGAATATGATAAAAAATTTTATGTACTCTGAGCCATTCAAGAGGGTGGGGAGGGGGGTGTGCCTTGATACTGATGAAGGGCTCTTGATCCAAGTAATGGGAGCCACTTTTTCCCTTCCTCATCAAACCTGATTCCTCCTCCCTCTTCCCATTCTGGAGATGCTGTATGACTCCTGCGGGTCCCCCACTTACCCGTGAATATTAACAATCGATTTGGGACTCTAGTGAATATACTGTACAGCTGTACTGTACTAATTACGTCAGGTTAGGTAAGGTTTGTCAGAAAACAGGACAAGTGTTTTCTGATATGGGTCTTAGTCATGTGATGACCCACAGCTGGAGCTTATCTGGCCAAGGCCTTCCACTGGCTTTCCAGTCCCCCCCCCCTTTAAAAGCCATGGTTATAATTACAGTTACTTTATTTAGTGTACTAAGCTAGACAGCGACAGTTGGCCATCAGTATTATGTAGGGATGTTAAACCAGTGAAGTTCTCCATTGTATGGTTGCTCCTTGCTTTGCTCGCTATGTTGCTTCTATGGGTGTAGTATGGCCACCTGTTGAAAATTATTCAACGATTTTTTATTTAACTTTTTAATTTTTTTTTATTTTTACATTTCAGGGATGACCAATCGAGAGGTTGCAGAGTCTGTACCCAATGGTTACCGCATGGGTAAACCAATTAATCATTACTGTCCTGATCATCTCTATGAAATCATGTGTCTGTGCTGGACGTTGGATCCTGTACAAAGACCTACGTTTTCACACTTGTTTGCTCACTTCGCAGACTTTGATATAGCCTCTGAGGTGTCTTATGCAGAATCCAGCTCTGCTTAATAAAAAAGAATGTAGGTTCAGGGAGTACTCACTTCTAGCAGTTCTAATACACACTGGTTAATTTTCTAAGGTACCCATATACAAATACATTAGTGTGTATTATGATAGTTATCAGGAGATTTATTCAGATATACACTGTGATATGTGTATTCATTGACCTTATACATCATTATGAAAGAAGGATTTAGGTGCAAAAAATATCAGGTTAGGTTTAGGCTGATCATTTGTGTGTATGTGATTGTAATTATTGATTTGTATATAGTTGTGTGATTTATGTGCATGTACAATATGTATATATACATACATATATATGTCAGTGTTTCCACTGGCAGGTGCCCTTTGCACAGTTTACAAAAAAGTGTTGCACAAAAAATTTAACTTAGCAAGTCCTTTCCTAAATACAAAAAAATCCTAGTTTCGACCCCACCAAATAATTTTTTCTAAATGTCTGTTTCTGAGTCTTATGATAGGTATAAAAAGCTTCTGGCAGAGTACTGTAATTACTTTTTATGTGATGTTGCTGTATGAATGAATTTGGCTCAAGGTGTTGCCCAATGATAAATAATCGTCTGGAAGTGTAACGTAAAACCCACATGGCGGCAGAAGGAAAAGGAAAATAGGAACTCGTATATTTTGATCGTCCACTGTGGTTCTCTCTACTATATCTATTAAAGAGAACCTCTGGTTAAGTCGGAAATATATAGCTTCCATTTCACCCTGTGTTTCCTTCTGTTGCTATGTAGGATTTTGTGTTATTTTGATCAGTGTTCATGGCACTCGTACCATTATATTGTCTCGGAGACTGCATTCATTTACGAAGAAATAAACTTATTATTTTATTATTATTAGAGTTATGCTTGTGACAGAGCATCTCAGCAGATTTTAACTCTACAGTTCAGGGGTATACTATTGTGAACAAAAAATAAATTACTAAAATAATGTATGGTATCGAGTAATAGGAAAAACAGCAGAACCCTGTATGTGTGTGTCTGTATTCACCTCTTTGTGGTTGCAGAGTTTAAGTCATAGCTCCTGGTGTGTGCGTGTGTGCACACAAGCGGATAAGTGCATGTGTGTATTTTGTGTGTACTTGGTGAGTTGTACCTACAGGCATTGAGCATTTCTTGGCACTGTCTCTGAAATCTTCACTCAGTTGTCACAGTAGGTTTATGTCCTCATGGACTCGTATAATATTTTCTTACAAATCCACGTATGGAGTTTGCATCAAAGTAATGACTGCCAGTATGCCAGGGATGAGCACTCATCCCTTCACAAGAAACAATACTTGTATTGAAAAAGCTTAAAATTCATATAATACAACATAGTTTATTTGAACATAGGTAATTCAGCTGCTTGTTGGCATGTGTTTGATAGTTCAACTACCAATTGACACCCTGGCAATGCTGTCACTGGCTACAGTAGCATGTTGTATAAAGTGACCTAGGATAGGCTACACTATGCTGGCATACATCACACTCGATTACCTATTCACTAAGCTCATTCCACTTGTTCACAGCTATGCTGAAAAGTTATTTCGTAATATGCCTGTGGCTCATTTGGTTGTTTGCCTTTCATCTGTTCCTTTTTGTTCTTTTCTCTTCTCTGTTAAATATTGTGTTATCCCTGTGAGTACACCTGAGTGAGTATCTTGCATGTTGTGAATGTATCACTCCCCTAATCCCACTCTCCTGCAGTGATGAGGTTCAGCTCTTTCAGCCTTGTTAGGCAGGAGGACACAGTGCAACTACTGTGATATTTTATTGTGGCAACGTTTCTCCAGGAGCTTTATCAAGCCATTAACAGCTTTACAAAGCTCCTGGAGAGCATAACATTGCTACAATAAAATGTCACATTAGTTGCGCTTGTGTCCTTTTTACCTAACATTTTGTCAGTAATTCTGCCATCTTTTAGCCTTTCCATGTAGTACATGTCTTTTGGCTCCAGTACAAGTCTTTTGACAAACCTCTGAACTTTTTCAAACTTTTTCATCTTGACTGTTTAGGGGCTCCGTGTTGGTGCTGCACACTCTAGGATTGGCCTTCAATATGTCTTGGAGTACAGTATCTTGAAGAGTGTCTGTGTGGGTGGGGAAGAGTAGGGTCATCATTATGTGCATGTGTATATTCATAGCTACTATGTTCATGTGTGTGTTCATGTCTGTGTGTATATGTGTGTGTGCATGCAAAGGTAAGGAAAAGGGGACTTGCCTATCTATATCCTTTGACAGTGTACAGTGTATTAATATAAATGCATATGTACTTGCATAGGCACAAGGGGCTAGTAACACCTTCTGCTGTATATATTACTAAATTTAAAAGGAAAAACTTGCGTTTTTCTTTTTGGGTCACCCTGCCTTGGTGGGATGCAACCGGTTTGTTGAAAGATGACCTCCTTGCATGTGGTAAAATATATTTGTCCATGGAAATATATGATTAAATGATTATGTTATTTAGTGTTCTCTTAAAAGCATCTGGGGGTTGATAAGGATAATGTTTTTTACTTATAAACATCTGCAAAATTTTAGGTCTTATTAGAGTTGAGGTTATGGGATTTCCATTATTATGGTGCAGTAATGCTATTTAAATTACAGTACATTTATGACTGGTTTAGGTGTGGCTCAGGCTAGGAAAAGTACAGTGGACCCCCGGTTTACGATATTATTTCATTCCAGAAGTATGTTCAGGTGCCAGTACTGAACGAATTTGTTCCCATAAGGAATATTGTGAATTAGATTAGTCCATTTCAGACCCCCAAACATACACGTGCAAACGCACTTACATAAAAACACTTACATAATTGGTCGCATTGGGAGGTGATCGTAAAGCGGGGGTCCACTGTACATGTTTTTCAACTTGGGAAATTCACCCTTTGCTAAGCATTCCATTCTAATGTAAGAAGAGAACGTACATTTTAGGAGTAGCAACATGAGCTTTTCACTGCATAAATAATATTAGGCACGATCATTTAATAGTTACCAAAAATTGTCGCATACGAAGAACCGATGATGTTCTCATCCTCATTGCTAACAGTTATCTTCATTTTGTGTAATACAAAGAAGGGATAAATATATTTTTAATTCCAGCTTGAAATCATGGACTTTTTTTTCTAAAGTTTAGCATCCATAAGCTAAAAAAAATAATTTACTTACAATTGCTTCAAAAATAATATAACAGTAGAGAAATAAATCTAATTCAAAAGTAATGCATTGATAAATTAAAGTAAGGTTTAATTTGCACAAGAAGTTAGTGCGTACAAATGCTTCATCTGTCTAAATAAGTTTACCTGAAGATTTTGTATTCACATAACTGTTTTGTGGGTGTGATCTAATATTTGTCTGTCATTTCAGTACAAACAAGGAATTCAAAGAGCAGTTTATAGATCTGATATGTAACCAAGTTTATTAGAGTGATGGGAGGCCTAATCTCAGTTATTACATAAAAAACATACCCGTCAATACTCTCTCAGCGTTCACTTGAAACAAATGAAATTAGGCAAAAATTTTATTTATCACTAGTGCATATAGGGTTTGACATATTAGAAATTTACATATGTATTCAAAATTATTGTACACACTGATAACATTATTGCATAACAGTAATTTCTAATGAAGTGAGTACTTCTTGGAAGGTTTCAACTGTAGAGTGAATGGACTCATAATATTTGTGAGTTTATGTGACCTTGTGGGTTCATGAGTTGGTCAAGTCAGGTAGAGGTCCAACGGAGAAGTTGGTAATTAATGCAGAGAACTACTGAAGAGCTTTCCTTCGGCAACACCCAGAACCTAATTACTATAGCAGGAAAAATATTTTTTTCAAGCAGTGAATATATTTAAAAGAGTACTTTCTTAATATTATTGAACGAGACCATGGTAAGGTCATGAACTAGTTGCATTAGGCTTCAGTAATTCAGCATTTAGTGTGAGATTTGTCACTGTTAACAGCAGTTCTGCACATCTAATGCCTGAAGTTGTATTGTCCTTGATAGAAAAGTCTGTGTATTGAAGAAGGTAATGACTCGAAAGGAAATTTGCAAGAAATGTGTTAGATGATGTGAGTATGTAAATTGCAACACACCAAAATGAGAAGCTTTTCCTCTTTATATATTTTATATGGTAATGCAGTCCAGACTTGTGGTAAAATTTACTGTCAGGTACTAGCAATGGCTTCAAGTGAAGCTGGTGTTAGATCAGTGAGTTGTCTGTCGCCTTTCCTATCTTCTTAAAATGCATGTTGTCTCACATGATCAGAATTTGTAAAGTTGGGAGAATCTCCCAGGGGTCCATGTAATCCATATATTTATAACTGCAAGTCTTCCTTAACCTATTAGTAAGACTGCATTGTATAGTAAACTAAGTTCATTACAGCAATGTTCTAGTTTTATGTGATGGGTATTTATTGCAGTGATCAACACACTTTGAATGTAAATCTGTAAATTCTAAATATATAAAAATATGTGGCTCATCATAGTCATCATTGAACAGAAATTAACTGTCCAAGAAGAAAATGTTGGAACATGATGTTTCTGGTGGAAATACCTGAGACGTGGATGGAACGGGAAATACCCGAGACGTGGATGAAATGGGAAATACCCGAGATGTGGATGGAACGGGAAATACCCGAGACGTGGATGAAATGGGAAATACCCGGCACATAGATGGAACGGTGCATTGCCGACAAGCATGAAGACAAAGAAACAAATTACAAGACGAGCTTTTACTGAAACATTTCACTCTATGTAGAGCTTTCTTAAGTCTTGCCAAAGCTCTACACAGTGAAACACTACCCCCACCAAAGCTTGTTCTGCAACTTGTGTTTTCGTCTTCATTCCTAAGATATGTTAAACTTAAAGGCATTTACCACATAGCTTCTTGAAGCAAGATGTGTGAGGTGGTAGTTGCTATTCCTGAGGCATATACATGCTTTGGTAAAGGATATTTTTCCTTGTAGCTCACACTGGTGTTTAGGAGTCTTCTATGTTTATTGTCACTTGTGCAATTCCTAAAGTTAGTGTGAGTTATAGTTATTTTTTACCAGACAGGAACAAAGAAGCCAGTGCTTTAAATTGCATGTTTCTTTCTCTTCCTTAGACTGTGTACAGTACATTTATAGATACATTTAAGTCATTATTACCAAAGCTGTCATTGTTTGTACATTGAGAATATTGTAACCAGAGTAGGAGTCACCACAAATGATAATCATTTTCATGATTAATGTTAGGTAGAATGGCTACAATGGCAATGGATACAAATATTAAAGGACTTGGTGTTAGGGAAGATTACCTTGCACCATAGTCTAAGAACAGGGTCTCCACCCCAGAGTTTCTATTGGATTCTAACCATTTATTTGAAGGTATATATACAGTAAAGATTTTTGTGCAGATGCAAAAATAAATTGTTGTATCCCTCAAAACAAAAGTCATTAGAAGTTAGGTTCATTCTTCACCAAGTAATCTGTGCCTACAGATTCCAATAGTCCAAGCAACATTTATCCTGGGAGGCAGTAGCTAACTACTCGGTAAACAACCTCACAGCTTCTTGTCCTGAACAAATGTCGTGTTGTCAAATTTAAATTTTTTTTTTAATATATTTTGATTTTTTTTTTTTTGTGGGGAGAGGTATTGCACAGAACTGTAATTTAGGGTTTTAAGCAATATTAAAACAATTTATTAATCTGGGACAAGGAGCTCTGAGGTCCGGAGACTGCCCTTGCTCGTTCTTCATACATTTCTCCAAAGAATACAGAGTTTCTGGCTGTACATACTTACCATAAGTGGGATTTTCCTTTTTGTAGAGAATAACACACATTTAATTTGAGAGAGAGAGAGAGGGGGGGTCACAAATAAGTATATGAAGTGTAATGTTTTTATAGTGATAACACATTTTTCTTTTTCAATGTGTAGGTGCTGACTGACAGACCTGAAACATGACATAAGTAGACTAAATTAGAAATTGCCGTTTTTTTTATTTTGCTTTATAGACTGTTTAAATCATAATTTAATACTCGAGCGACTTCTCGTTGCTTTCCTTACTGTGTTATGAACCTTGTTATTCCTTGCCGGTGCATAATTCTCATCATCAGTACACATTTCATACTTATACTTACACTCACTCAGCATCTGGATGTCAACACCCAGCAAGTTTTATACATAATGGAAATAAGTCACTTTGACTTTTTTGGGTTATCCTACGTAATTTACACACCTTACCATTACAAATATTATCTCTCGGTCCACAGCAAAAGTTGACCCTGTGTACTCTTCATCAGAGTACTCATTACTTTAACTCCACATCTGTGTGGAGGAAGTACGGCGTACTCTGATGCAGAGTGCGCAAGTTTGTATCCTGCTGTGGACTGAGATAATGTTTGTCAGTAATTCTGCCCATTTGCGAATTGTTAAGCGTATGTTTCCATGTATGATGATTGTACGTCTGTGTGCCTGTACCTAAATAAACTTGCTATACAACTGCTGCGATGAAAAGCAAGAGGAGGAAGTGCTAAAGCAACCATAAACAAAAACGGTGACACTAAACACAGACTCTGGGTTACCATGAGTATAGATCACTTCTCTTTTTATTATTATAATAATAATCTTCCCTTGACTAGGTTTACGTTTTCTTTTTTGATTATAATTGGTACATTAAAGGCATGTAAATGGAAAAAAATAAAAAACTTCCGATAAAATGGATTGTAAAACAAAGAAATGATACATAAATATTAAAAATGCTAAATTGATTTTATTTTCAGTGAAAAATGATTTGAAAACCACTAGTAAATTTATGCAACATTTTAAGGAAGGAAACTTTAAAATTTTTTTAATCTAGTGACGTGGAGGTGAAAATCTTCAGTTGCCAAAGAAGTGATGTAAAAACAAATTTGCAAAGTATTTTCAAATTAATAAAATTTAGGAAATTGATGGGCAGAGGATTTTGCATATCATTTAACTATTTTTTTTACCAAAATCTCAGTTTTTTACTCTGTAATCACAAATAGGTAATTATACATTCTGGTAGGTGATATGATTATGACATACAAAATATTCTGGGGCATTTAAAAGATAAACCACGACATCCTCTACCAGGAGAGAATCTAGGACAAGGAGCATGAATGGAAACTATGTAACTGGTTGACTCGGATGTCAGAGAACACGGCTTGTACATCTACAGTAAGTCCTCAACTTACATGCTGAGAATTTTCTGTATTGTGTGTAACATCATTATACACAATACAGAAGGTCCCTAACTTGTTCGTAAGTTGAAGACTTCTGTATTATGAATATTATACACAATTCAGGAGGTCGCCAATGTGTTTGTAAGTTGAGGACTTACTGTAGCTGGGTCAGAGAGACAGAGAACACTGATTGTAAATGGTTCAAGTCGGACCGAAACCTCATCATAAGCTCCTTTCTCCTATGTGCGAGTAATTTGTGTACACATCTAGTTGAGTCAGAGACACATCAGAGAACACTCCTTCAGTGAAACACTGGCAGTGAAGTGAAATGAGTTAGACGACAACATTGTAAAAAATAATTCCATAAAGGTTCAAATGTTAACCTTTTAATGTGATAGACGTAACCCACAAGAGTCAAGGCCAAGAAACAACAACTCACTATTTTACAAACTCGTGTATTTAGTAAATAGTTATTACATGCATACGCATATGCATCATTGTAGTTACAGGATTAGAATCTCACTTTTGGTGTTCCAATTTTGAATTATTTTATCATGAGTATTGAGGCAGTTGTAAATTGTAAACTATTTATGATCTGTAATTGAAAGAAGAGACACTATGAATGTAGATCTACTCCTGTAATTATAAATGGGTAATCATGAGTAGGTCCAGCCAGGTCTTGATAAGTGCAAATTCTGATTTAGTGTGAAATTAATTAATGCTAGTTTTCCCCAAACTCTTCAAACTGTGTGCAAAAATTACATATAATTCAAGTAGTGAGAATTTGAATAATGTGATCATTCCACAGGAGTCATTAGTCGCACTAATTGAGACCTAGCTGTAAGTGCACATGTATACATGCAGGCTTGCACTAGTTTGCATATGGATTCAGGTGCATGAGCACACTTGTACGCATATACATGCAGGTGTATGCACACACATGCTCACTAGCATTCTTTTTCATTGGTGCTCACTTCAAAAATAACCTTCGTGTCTGAATTTTCAAGGGAAGATTTTAATATTTATATATTAAAATAAATATTTAGGTGCAAAATTTGTAACATTTCCATATTTTTTTTTTTTATTTTATGGGAACCCCATTATTTCAGTTTTTATTTTGATTTTAGATGATAGCTGACAACAGTACATGACGTAACACGTTAATCTATGTCAGGTTCATTTTGTGTCATTTTTAATCCCTTACCTCAAGAGCATGCATATTTTAAACACTGAAAGTTGACAATAATGTGCATGGGGTAAGTAGAGTATTTAAATACATCACTTTCTAGGCTTATACAATTTCCTCGTGTAAAATTAAAATTTGACGGCTCGCTGAGGATTTTCGTTTTGACCAAAAACAAGAAGCATCAAATACAAAGATGTATAAAAAGTGATCTGGAGAAGTTCATTTATTTTTCTTGATAATTGATTAAATTGTAATCGCAGTATATGAGCAGACGGTTGTATAAGTCACTGTCGTGGAGCCAAGCCAGGGTATACAGACCAGTACTCAGACCAGTATTGAGACCAGTACTCTCTAGTTAATGTGAATAATGTTCTAAATGTAACTTAGTTAGATGTATCCCTTTGTGCTGCTGATGTAAAACTAATGAGAATAAAAACAGATGAGGATGGAAAGGCTCCAAATACATCTGAACAAATTGCAAGATTGGTCCAATACATGGTTGCCAGAATTCAACTCCCCAGGAAGTGCAAGGTAATGGAAATTGTGGAAGGGGCAAGAAGATCAAACATGGATTATGGACTCAGGGGTCAGAGACTGCAGACTTCACTCCGAGAGAAAGACCTCTGGGTGAGCACAGTGCCCAGTATAAGGCCAGATAACACCTGCAGTCAGTGTTCATTTGGCAAATCCAAGATTAACCTTCAAGAATCTCGGTCATTTTGGACTCTATACAAATCTCAACTCCATCTTGGATTATGCAGTATGGAACCCACGCCTGAAAAAAAAAGTTTAGAAACTGGAGAAAGTGCAGAAAAATGTAACAGTACAAGCTACAAGGTCACTTGAATTGTGATGACTTTAGAGGACAAAATAACTAGGACAGACATAATAACATATAAAATGCTCAGAGGAATTGATAGGGAGGACAGAGACAAGCTGTTTGAGATTAACTTAGACGCAAGTACTCAGAGATAACTGGAAGTTAGTCACAGATGATCCACAGGAATGTTAGGAAGTGTTTCTTCAGTCAAAGTGGTCAGGAAATGGAATGATCTTGATAAGTAGTGGGCACAAATTCCATACATTGTTTCAAGAGTAGTTATGATGGGGCCCATGAGGTTATAAGAGAGTGACTGGCAAGCAGCAAGTTTAGAGGTGAAGCCAAGAGCTGAAACTGGACCCCTACAGCCACAAATAGGTGAGTGCAAATAAGTGGGTAGTGGTTGATTGAACAAATAAGTGAGTACAGTTGATTGAATGATGGTGAATATATTTCTTCATTTTTTAGCCACATAGGAAATGGCCATTGTTAATATATAGTGATGAGCTGTAAATATTGGTCACCAGTCACTGATTACTGCCTCATATATCATAAATAATTTGTTCAAAGATTTCAGTTACATAAAAAGGCAGGGCATTTTTCTCTAGTAAATGCCTACTAGATCTGAATAGTGTACTGTAGACAATATTGAATAAAAAAAAGACACAAGTTAGAGAAGCTTTTATTGGAAGAATTTCTCACTGTCAAGTGAGTGAAACCTTGGCTTGGTAAAGATGGTTTTGTAATGCGTGTTGTTTTTTTTGAGCTCCCACTGGTTAACACCGTCACGAATGTGTGATTGTACTTCGGCTGCCCTACCTGAATCTCAACAGTCGCTGCTAGTAGTATGAAACATAGTGTGATCTGTCATATTATGTTTCCTGGCTTGGCACTATGATACACACACACACACAGCCATACCTATACTAAACATATGAAGGCAATTCTAGTTGGCAGGCATTATTAGACCATTGACTGCAGCCCTTAAACATGAATATCTCCACATGGATTGCACTATCATTTGGCTTTCATGAATAATTCAATAAACTGTAGAACATGTAAGTGTTTGGACACACACAGCTAGTCAGGTATGACACACACACACTGGCCCTGGTACTGTGTCTCAATCTCTCATAGCGGAAAGGGCTTATAAATTATAACACATTATATAGGTTTTAAAAGTCATGAATAGGCTTTATATCATATTATAATTTAGTGGCAAAGGCCTTTGCTCTAGGAAGAGAAGGAAGCTGTTCATGTAGATTATCTCTCACCTGTTCATTATTTATCATGCATTATGCTCTCATCTTCGATTAGAAAAAAAATCAGCCAGTCATGTCACTTTACCGTTTCATAATGTACCTCTCCTTAGCTACTTCCATAGAGCATCGACTTTAAAACTTGCTCTTGAGACGATGATGCTTCTTAAAACGTTGAGTCGGATCTAGAACTCTGAACAGTTCAGTAGTGACCTCCACAAAAGCTAGGTTTTACTGTGTACACCAGTGCCACTCTGTGGTTATAATTTTACCAGATACCTCTTTTTATATATATACAGAGGACCCTCAAATTTAGTCATGCCTTTTCTGTATGCAAAACTATTTTTATTATCTATAAAATGTATGTTTTGTTAATATTTCCCATAGGAAAAATGCAAATCCAATTAAATAATTCCAGACACCCAAAAATATTAACAAAAAATACATTTTATAGATAAAAATAGTTTTGCATACAGAAAAGGCACGACTAAATTCGAGGGTCCACTGTATATTATATATATATATATATATATATATATATATATATATATATATATATATATATATATATATATATATATATATATATATATATATATATATATATATAATATACCATGTTTTTTTAATCTATCTTTTACGTTTATTAGGAGAAATGCTCTCTTGCTTTTGTTTTTGATCATAGTAAGTCACTGAACAAAAACTTTTATACTTTTTAACTTTTTTATATTGTAAGCAGGACATGATAACAGTACACACATGATGCTGTTAATGTCTGTTTCATAGTAATTAAAATTGTATCGAAACAATAAAATGTGTTCGTCTGTTGAGATTGTATTACTCTATTGTGTAAATTGCCTAATGTTTTTTTTTTTACTGCTTGACTTCGGAGATATATGTAATCTCTACAAAACAGGACTACAAATGTGTGCCTTTGCATTTACATACTACCTATAGATGAAGGAATATCTCTCTAGTCTTCTATATTCAGAATTATCTCTAGTCCTATAGATGTAGGATGATCTTTATAGTCTTATAGATGCAGGATTATCTCTATAGTCCTATAGATACATATAGGATTATCTCTATAGTCCTATAGATGCAGAATGATCTCTATAGTCCTATAGATAGTTATAGGGTTGTCTCTATAGTTGAACCTCAGACCAGGACTCCTGGTTGTCGACCTGATCAGTCAGACTTGTTAGTGGTAACTGCATGTATTCCGAGGTTTTGGCCACTTCAAAGGTGGATACCTTAATCCAAGAATTGGATAAGGCATCCTTGGATGAGATCTAATTACCCCTTATTTCCTAGGCACTGTATAACCTCTACATGTTCAGTAGGAAAACAGCAGTTGACCAAGTGATGGTCAATGTGTTTCCTCTCTGAGTCACCCTGTGTAAATTACCTAGGATAACCTCAAAAAAAAATCATGGTGAGGGGCTCTTAATCTAAGGTATTTGATCTATATTACTCTTGTGGGTTTAGCACTTAGTTTTGATTATCAAAAGGAATTGGATTGAATCTGAATGCCTCCCATCCTCCCCAGGCGATCCCATCAAGGGAGGTTCCTTGATGCTGGTGAGGGGCTCTTGATCTAGGGAATTGGATCTGTGATCCAATTCCCTGAATTGAGCCTGAATACCTTTCATTCCTCCCCCCCCCCCTACAGGCGCTGCATAATCTCAATGGGTTTAGCGCTCCCCCTGATAATAATTCCCTGGCGCTGTGACCCACATATGAGTTTAATGCCCCTTTACCTTATAAATGTAATAGGGAAGATGGTGGAGGTGAGTGCCTCTGGTAGTGAGGGTGGACACTAGGTAGAGGTGAGTGCCTCTGGTAGTGGGGATGGGCACTAGATAAAGGTAAGTGCCTCTGGCGGTGGAGGTGGGCACTACAGTGCTAGTCACCGCATTAAGCCGCCCCTCCCCCACACACGTACTAAAACACAAACACATACCATAACAGATTATAACATATACATTTGCACACTTACTGAAGTTTTAATACTTGGTGTTGCATCATTTATGCATAATCGTGTCCCTCAGCTATGTTGGAAGACTCGCACAAATTCTTGAGGGTTTGGGGAGGTATATTATTCCATGCCTCGTGTAGAGCAGCCTCCAACTGCAGGATGGAACTGATATCCTTGCCCAGTAAATTTCATTTAACTATTGATCAGAGGTTCTCAATAGGGTTTAGGTCTGGGGAATTGCCTGGCCAGTCATTAAAGAACCTCTCTTCACAATCCTTAAGCCACTGAACTACAGATTTGATCGGTATGACACGGTGCACCATCCTGCATAAAAACCGTAGCCCCACACTTGTCAAACGCCTCAAGTAAATTGTTACACAACACCAGGTAATTATACTGGCTCATATCCTGATTTTTGGGAAGCACAATGAGTTCACCAACACTGAGCACTGAAACAACCCCAAACCACGAGTGAGTCTGGGTGTTTGGTGGTCCCACAGGTGTAACGTGGGTCTAGCAGCTGACTACCTCTGGGCCGGTAGACATGTCCCCTACGGTTACAGGTGACGGTGAACGTTGCTTCATCCAAAGTACTTCAGACCACTGTTGAACATACCAGTGAAGATATTTCTTTGTATAATCCTGCCTACATTCCTTCTATGTCTTGGAGAGGATTGGTTTCTTAACCTGGCGGTAACTACTGTAGCCCAGTTCTGACACACATTTGTTAACAGTTCTTACAGACACCTCTGAGAGATGTGAATTCTTTTCTTTCAATTCTCCAGCAGTTATCTTAGGTGTACTCTCTAACTGCTTCTTCAACACAGTTAAGGTTTTTCGTGGGGCCAGGCTGAGGTTTGGCAGACAGTAACTCGACACCGCCACCAGTTTCAGCGCTGCACCCAGTTCCTCACTGAACGCTCACAAGCGCCAACATTCTCCACTATTTCTTTTGTCTGTTGCCCAGCTTTGTGAAGTCCTATGATTTGAGCTATAGTTTCAGGTGTTAAAGACTTTTACCCATAATCATATATAGCCCCAAAACCAAAGGGAACACCGGACAAAAGATGGGGCAGATGAGAGACAAAAGTGTAACACTTCCTCTCACCACAGCAGCCATGTGAGCACTGAGGAGTCACTGTGGAGTGTGGCAGCAGGCCATGACGTCATGCTAATGGCTGCTACCCGGCATAATGCACTGACGAAAAGACCCCCCCCCCATCATGGTAAGGCTTTGATTTTCGTCATAGCATTATGCCGGGGTGCTCACCCGGCATGATGACATGAATAGCACTGTAGGTAGAGGTGAGCTCATCTGATGGTGGGGGTGGGCACTAGATAAAGGTGAGTGCCTCTGGGGGTGGGCACTAGATAAAGGTGAGTGCCTCTGGGTGTGGGCACTAGATAAAGGTGAGTGCCTCTGGGGGTGGGCACTAGATAAAGGTGAGTGCCTTGGGGGTGGGCACTAGATAAAGGTGAGTGCCTCTGGGCGTGGGCACTAGATAAAGGTGAGTGCCTCTGGGGGTGGGCACTAGATAAAGGTGAGTGCCTCTGGGGGTGGGTGCTAGATAAAGGCGAGTGCCTCTGGGGGTGGGGCACTAGATAAAGGTGAGTGCCTCTGGGGGTGGGCACTAGATAAAGGTGAGTGCCTCTGGGGGTGGGCACTAGATAAAGGTGAGTGCCTCTGGGGGTGGGCACTAGACAGAGGCATCGCTAGAGTTGGTGTCACCCCCATGAGATTCAAGGGTGGGGGCCCCTCAAGGAAGGCTCCTTGACGCTGGTGAGGGGCACTTGATCTAGGGAATTGGATCTGTGATCCAGTTGGATCTGTGCTCCAGTTCCCTGAATTAAGCCTGAATGCCTTCCATCCCCCCATAGGCGCTGTATAATCCTACGGGTTTAGTGCTTCCCCCTTGATTATAATAATAATAATCAAGGGTGGGGGGATGAGGGGGAATAAACTCCAGTTATGTCACTACTACATGACCAGTGACAAATGTTTAGCAATAAGAACGTTTAGGAGCCATAAACTGAACAGGAGAATACTTCTCAACTTTATTAATGATAAAATATATAATGGTAACAATATTGAGGAAACAAACTCAAATGCCACTTTGAGTACAGCCAACACTGGCCACTAGGTAGAGGTGAGTGCCTCTGAAAGATAGAGAGATGCCCTCTGAATGTCACATACAAGGCTATAAATTATTCCACACTGACAGGGTCAACAGGAAAGGTGGTGGAGTAGCGATGTATGTCAGAGACAATTTAAATTGTTGTGTTAGACAAGATATTAAATTAGAAGCGTCAGCCACTGAATCTGTTTGGTTACAGCTTCTCGAGGGCCGAGAAAAACTAATTTTGGGTGTGATTTACAGGGCCCCAAATCTTGATAGGGAGTGCAAGTAAACTTCTATGGGACGAAATTCGTAAGGCATCTACATACGAAAATGTTGTGCTAATGGGAGATTTCAACTATAGACAGATTGACTGGAGCAATTTGACAGGAAATTTAGAGTCGGGTGACTTTCTTGATACGATCCAGGATTGTTTTTTAAAACAGTTTGTGACAGAGCCAACTAGGGGAAATAACCTCCTTGACTTGGTTCTTGCCAGTAGGGAAACACTAATTAATAATCTTGAGGTTAATGATGAGCTTGGGGAGAGTGATCACAAATCACTCAGTTTTAACATATCATGGAATTCCCCTAATAATGGCAATCAAGTCTCCGTCCCTGACTTTCGCTTGGCTGATTTCATAGGACTGAAAAATTACTTAGGTGGGCTGAACTGGAATGACCTGACTAGGGGTCAGGTAGGTGGTAATGGTTGCCGATATGATGCTTTCCAGGGCATAGTTCTAGCTGCTCAGTCAAATTATGTTCCAAATAGGGAAATCAGATCAAACAAAAATGATCCTAAATGGATGAACAATAGATTAAAATATCTGATTGGTCAAAAGAGAGGCATATATAGGCAAATCAAAAGAGGAGAGGGGCAATTAAGAAATCGATATATTCAGTTAAAGAGAGAAATAAAAAAGGGAATTAGAAAAGCAAATAGAGATTATGAGGTTAAAGTTGCAAGAGAATCGAAGACTAACCCAAAAGGATTCTTTCAGGTATACAGAAGTAAGATCAGGGACAAGATAGGCCCACTCAAAAGTTCCTCGGGTCAGCTCACTGACAGTGATAAGGAAATGTGTAGAATTTTTAACACATACTTCCTCTCAGTTTTTACACAGGAGGATACCAGCGATATTCCAGTAATGATAAATTATGTAGAACAGGACGATAATAAACTGTGCACTATTAGGGTCACAAGTGACATGGTCCTTAGGCAAATAGATAAATTAAAACCTAACAAATCCCCAGGCCCTGATGAACTGTATGCAAGGGTTCTAAAGGAATGTAAAGAGGAGCTTAGCACACCTTTGGCTAATCTTTTCAACATATCACTACAAACTGGCATGGTGCCAGATAAGTGGAAAATGGCAAATGTGATACCTATTTTCAAAACAG